GTCTACACTACCCCGCTAGTTCGAACTAGGAGGGTAATGTACGCATACCGCACTTGCTAATGAAGCCCGGGATTTGAATTTCCCGGGCTTCATTAGCATAAGCGGGGAGCCGCCATTTTTAAATCCCCGCTGCTTCGAACCCCGTGTAGCGCGGCTACACGGGGCTCGAACTAGGTAGTTCGGACTAGGGTGCCTATTCCGAACTACCATTACTCCTGGTGAAACGAGGTGTACCGGTAGTTTGGAATAGGCCCCCTAGTCCGAACTACCTAGTTCGAGCCCCGCGTAGCCGCGCTACACGGGGTTCGAAGCAGCGGGGATTTAAAAATGGCGGCTCCCCGCTTATGCTAATGAAGCCCGGGATTTGAATTTCCCGGGCTTCATTAGCAAGTGCGGTATGCATACATTCCCCTCCTAGTTCGAACTAGGAGGGTAGTGTAGACATACCCAGAGAGAGTTTGTATGTGAACAAGCAAGTCTGTCTGACATGGAGACTGGGACACAGTGAGATCCATGCTGGGCCATTCTTCCACCTTGGCACTAGCAACTATGCAGGTTCTACTAACTCCAGAGGCACCAACCTCAAGCAGGCAACCGAGGTTCCCATATGCTTATGTGCTATGGATAGTTATGCTGTATAATGACCAGAGGGGGGCAGAAAGGGGCCAGAGACAACTATAACTCCATGGGGGGCAGCAGGAGGTGGGGTGGAGGTAAGATACAGCCCCATTCCTCCCAACCTGCTCCCCTGACTCCTGAGCACCTTTTGATTGCAGGGCTTTGGGGGCAGGTGTCGTATTTGTTTCAGCTGTTTTTAAAGGCTGAGGGTGCCATACAAACAGCAAATCTATCCCAAGGATCCACCCTGCTCTGCAAATGCTGAAGCTGCGGAAATCTCTGTGTGAGATCTTGTGTGATACGTTTGTGAGTCTCCGTTCCAAATTTCAGTGCACTTATCCGAATCGTTCTGACCTGAACCTGCAGAAAGGAAGGGGGAGGGGAATGACTTTTCCTGCATCTCTTTCTTTGGCCCTATAACATTGACCAGCTGAATGTAACTGCCTTTTCCTGCAGGCAGTAAACTGTCCATACAAGTTCAGTTCCGGCAGGAGGAAAACATCAAACACCACCAGGTGGCACACTTAACTGCCCCAGTCTTGTACAGGCTTGGGATGTGCATTTACAGCCAAATTTTTACTTTAGTCATTAATCTGGGTTCTCAATGATGCCAGCTGCAATTATGCTAAATCAAACTAAACAGTCAACTGCTGTCGGAATGATGGTTAGCGTGGTCTGCAAGGGGATCCAGTTTAAAAACCAGCCCATTAGCCTTTTATTCATAACGAATCATCTCCGCCCCTCTCTGTCCCTGTCTTAGGGATGCAATAGTGGAGTCAATTAGCTGATTAACCGAGAAGCAAAAACTTTTTGGTTAATACTATAGACAACACGCATTTCCCTCCCCCCCACCTACCAGCCAGTAAATTTTTAGCAAGTTGGCCAGCAGCCCAGCTCAGTTCTGGCTCATGCCGTGTCCGGGGGAGCTCAGAACCCCCCCTCCTCCAGACAGGTGCTGCTGCCACCCCGTGTTGCTGCCTCTGTATCAGAGGCAGCAGCACAGGGTGACAGGCAGCTGGTCTGTGAGGGGAGCTGGTTTTTAAACTTGATCCCCTTGCAGACAAGCTCCTGCCTGGCACCCTGCACTGATGCCTCTGATACAGAGGCAGCCGCATAGAGTGGCAGAGGGCTCCACAGGAGTGAGGTTGGAGTGTGCTGGCTGCTGACCCCCCCCCGGGAACTATAGAATAGTTGACTAACCAATAAGAATTCATGAGGTTACTCGACTATTCAATTCACCGATATTTAACATCCCTAACTCCGTGCGTGAAGGCTGGTGCAGATCTTGTCTTGGAAATCAGATGGCACAAAGTCAGAAGCACTTTTTGGTTCCCACATGTCTTTGATGCACGACAGACCCCTTGGAGAAAACTTGTTTGATGAAGCTCATATGTGAGTCTGGCAGAGAAGTGAGAGCCAGGGGGAGAGGGCAGAGGTGTGAAAATGTTCAGTTTGCGATAAATGCCACCCATTGCTTACCCAGTGGTGCCAGAGGACTTTCTGGGTTGGGCTCTTTTTATGGTTTGTGCCGGAGGAGGGGGGGAAAAATCCTTTCTAAAGCAAGGACTCGTAATATTTCATGTGCAGTCTGCATTTTCCACATCCTATGGCCAAAACGTCTAAGCAAATTAGAGCCAGTTTCCCCTTTTGGAAAGGCACAAAACCCGCAATCACAATGCAGCAGCCAGTCCCTTTAGCAGTTCTGGGCGGCACATGGCCAGTGCCACAAGCTTCAAGTGACTCCACCTATTCCATTCTCCAAGATAATCAGCCCGAGGGCAGGAGTTAAAATAATCAAAACCGACTGAAATTGTTTCTTCACCAAAAAACAAACAAAAAACAGTGAAATCACCTTTAGAAAAGATGCACCCACCTGAAGCAAATGGGGAAACAGCAGCTAGTGCAGAATGCTGCTCTCTGATTGCTTATTAGACTCCGCTGGCTACTAATTTGCTTCCAGATGCAACTGTGAAACTGAAGTCAGTCCCTACAGCCTAGCATGACTGGGTCTGAGCCACTGTAGAGATTGCAGGCTTCCTGCTGCTACCCTTAGAGAGCAAACAGCTGTTGGGAATCCCCTGAGCTGGAAACTCTCAGGAGCTAGTGGCCAGCTGCTCTCAGCAGGGATCCTCAGCTATAAAACTTGCCTTCTCCTGCTGTTCCAGCAACCCCCAAACTTGGCCATTGAGAATGATGTCAGACTGGTTTGTTTACTCAGGGACTTGCCAAAATGAAGGATCCTTCTGCACTGGTGTTTGTTGGACGGAATATTAGGGGGGTGATTTTCCCCCTGACTTTGTTATTTGGTTGGGAGGCAGGTTAAAGGTCAAACTACAATGAACTGATCATTACAAATGAAAACCGTTGTTTGGAAAGGTAGCCAAGACGATTTTGCCAGTTAATACCGGCAGTTCCTGGTAGAAATCATTGTGAATGGGAGGTGTGTATCATTTCTCCATTTCTGATGGGCAGTAGTAAGAGCGAACACATTACGAAACCTAAATGTAAACCTCTTTGCTTATTCCAGTTGGTTTCCTTTGACAAACAAATGAAGTATTTGGCAAATGCTGTTGCATTATACATCCATTTTGTGTCTATTATTTGTAAATTTGTAGGCAGCATCCTCTTATCATAACTTACAGCAAGGTCAGGGTTTGGTTGTGCCAGGACTGTGTGTTTGGGCTATGCGTGGAATGGGATTGTTTCTCAGCAAATGGAATGGGAGGGGTGTGATAGCAGGGACAGTTATACTCTCAAATGACCACAGGGGGCAGCATGCACAGGGGACACATACCCAGGGCTTGACAAGCAGCAGCAAGCCCCGCTTGCCAGCTGCATGGTTTGGCACGCTGTGCATGCACAGACCATGCTGCACATGCGCTGATTGCACTGCGGTGCCGTGCCAGGCTAAAATCTACTCACCACGGGCGAGTAGATTGCTGAAACTGTCGAGCCTTGCCTATACTCCAGAATGACCACAGAGGGCAGCAAGCGCCTCAGCTCCAGGGAGCAGCCACCAGTCAGCTCATGTGGCCCCCGCTGCCCTGGGGAGCAACTGGTGAGAGGACTGTACAGCTCCCTCTGTCCTGGACCATACCCGGGAGACGCTGGCAGGCATGCTGCATGGACCCCACTGTCCTGGGTTCACCATGGGGAGCAGCCATTGGCTGTCCCCACCTCCTGCCCTGAGCCCCACCCCTCTCCATCCCCTTCCCCTCCTCTTCATCCTTCCAACATGACCAGCATTTTGGTCTTCCCCCCAAAGTAACCAGATGCTCCTTAATGTGCGGAGTTGTTCATTCCAAGCAGCGATGGAAATACAATGGGAAAATGGCATCATTAAACAATTATAGATTTAAAAAACCCCCACTGAACCCTTACAACCAGACAAAACACCCTGCCGGCTACAAAACCTCCTTCGCTTCCACTGAACCCAGTCAGCTCCCGTCTCAGTGCTCGGACTTATACAACTAGCTCCCATCTGAAGGGGTGTGGCCTTTGCCTTTGGGCACTGCACAGAAAAATTGACAAATCGGCGACTCTTTTACATTCCTAGTCACTGCCTATTGAAAGCATGGGGGTGGAGATGGGGCAACAGCAGCCTAGGTAGGTGATTATGAGTGCATATTGAAAAAAAAACAGTGAAAGGGAAGGTTTCTTGGCACTAGTTAGACATGGTGCAGCCAAGGGATTTGCCAGCTTCTTCCACTCAGCTCTGCCAATGCCCCTCAGTCCTGTCCCCCAGCCTGTGCTGTCCAGCCCGGTGCTTCCAACCCTCAGCCAATGCACCCAACTTCCCAACAGTGCTCTGCCTGGGGCTATGTTACACTGCAGAGTTTTTGCACACAAACAGTTGTTTTTGACAAAAACTTGCGGAGCGTCCACACTACAAGCGTGTTCTTGTGCAAGAAAAAGTATAGTAAATCGTTGTGCTTTTGCGCAAGAGCATCCATGGCAGTGTGGCCGCTCTTTTGCAGAAGAAAGCTCTGATGGCCATTTGAACCACAGGGGTTTCTTGCGCAAGAAACCCCTGTGGTTCAAATGGCCATCAGAGCTTTCTTCTGCAAAAGAGCGGCCACACTGCCATGGATGCTCTTGCGCAAAAGCACATCTCTTGCACAAAGGCACATGGTAGTGTGGATGCGCTGTTGCGCAAGAAATTTTTGCAGAAGATCTCTTCCATAAAAAATTCTTGCACAAGAATTTGGCAGTGCAGACATAGCCTGGGACTGACACTAGTTTCACATTGCATGACAGATGCTGCAAGGGGGAGGGGAATGGAACCGGGCCATGAAACTGACCTTCACTGGGGACCTAAACCAAGACGCTCTGAGGTAGACGCTGTGTTGGCAACTGACCCAAAAAGTACCTTTGCCTCTTAGAAACCCAGGACTCTGGCAGCAAGCCTGAAGCCGGCAGCAAAGCCCGGAAGGAGAGGACAGCTTTCACCAAGGAGCAGCTGCGGGAGTTAGAAGCGGAATTTGCTCACCACAATTACTTGACAAGGCTCCGGAGATACGAGATCGCTGTGAATCTGGACCTCACTGAGAGACAGGTACCTCTGGAATAGCTGCCTTTCCAGCTGTCCCTCCCCACTGGGGCTATCCCTGCGAGGAGTGCAGGGTAAAGGCACTATATCGTCACACTGCACCTGTTTCTACATTGGCAAACACGCAAATATTTGTACACAACTTGAAAAAAAAAACGTGGGTCGCAAATCCGACACGTGCATTTGAACCTGGAGATAATCTAAAGGCTGGTTTCTGGTGTTTGGTTAAAAAGATACATGGATCAAAGCAGTTTTAAGCGGCAAAAACCATTTCTGAATGGCTAGTGATTGGGTGCTTTCCGATCACTGGTCCCATTAATTCCCACAAACCAAAAAGCGGAGAGGCTGGGTGGCATGGCACCTCCTAGGGTCTGATAATCAGGACTGAGCTAAGCCTTCGAGGCCCACAAGCGCTGTGGCAGATGAAACAAGGGGATATCAGAGTCTTGTCTGATGAGCTCTTCTTTCAGGCCAAGGGGATGGTGGGAACGAAGGAGGGAGGAGAGAAGTGAGGGGAGAGAGGACTTTCTGAGAGTCACTATGCTCCGCTTCCTGGTCTGTTCTTAGGAAGGTTCTCCTATCAAGGCCTGGCTAATAACATGGGGATGGAAGGCGCCATCCCAAACTGCCAGGCATAGCACCGTCCACGCTCCGCCCCCACAGCGCCTGCTGTAGGCGTTCTGGGGGCAGATGTTGCTGCCCCCGGCGCTTGCCCTCTGGGTGCTCCGGGACTGGGGATACTCCAGGGCTGGAGAGGCTGGGCCAGGCCAGGCCGTATGGCACAGCACACCCTGGCTCCTCCTTCCCTGGTGCTCCGCGCTGTCCGGCCCAGCCCCGAGCACGGGAGGGAGCAGGAGGCAGGACGTGCAGTGACGTGCAGCCTGGCCCGGCCCAGCCTCCTCCCTCCCCTGGTGTTCGAGAGAGCGGGCTGGGCTCGGCTAGGCTGCACGGTGCGGTGCACCTCTCACCAGGGCGGGGGAGGCTGCTGGGAGGGCGCGGCGGCTCC